CCCCCCCCCCTGGATCCGCGCCTGCAAGTGGCTAACCTGTAACGGCAACCCACGATATGAAAGCCCGGGCGAATATAAAATGATGTTGACAAAAAAGAAAGGGGAGATGTCGCGCCCTCCTGTGCGCGGCCCGCGAGCGGCTTCGAGGAGGGACGACGAGGGAAAGTTAATATGGGGAACTCGGCCCAAAACTTGGCCATCTGGAGCAGCAAAATGCAGACACGGCGGCCTCTGGTGCCGCTGCATTAATTAATCCTGAATGGAGACGAGTTAAATATTCAACTTTTTGGCCTTTCACCCTTGGATTTTATTCTTGAGGTCCTCTCTCCCCTCTCTCCTGGGCGCCGCTCGCGAGCCGCCGCCCCCGACGGACGCCGGCCTCGCCGCACCTCAACACATCCCTTTCTTTCCCGGCCAGAACTTTATTATTTTCCCATGGCAGTAATGAATTACTGTGATTAATCAGAAAAGTTTGTAATTAGAAAGTTTTCTTTGCACAATTAAAATGGCAAGCAGGGACAGCATTGGACGAGAGAAAGGGGTGTGGGGGGGAAGCGGGGGAGGTGCGGGACACGCCCTCCTCGCGCTCCTCTCTCTCTCTCTCTCTCTCTCTCTCCGACCCCGCCTACCGCCGACGCCAAAGCCCAGCCCCCTTCTTCCCTCCTCTCTCTCCTTCCGTCGATAATTTCATTAATTAAGGGTCTCAGAGTGCAGAGTGCTGTATGAAGTTTTTGGCAGCGATTTGGAGCGTGACGGTTCGGTAGGGGAGAGAGGAGAGAGAGGGGTTAGCTGGACCTAACCCCCCTAGCTGGGCCCGCCCCTGTGCATTCAGAAACCACACTACCCCTCGGCGGAGCCCGCCAGCCTGGACGAGACGTTCAACGAAAAGTAATGTGGGGGGAAGTCCCCTTCAAGGCAAATCGGTGCACCACCTCCCAAGACGGAGAATAAGGGGGGGGGGATGAGGAAGTAGGAGGAGGAGGAGGAGGGAAGGAGTAAGAGGAGGAAAGAAGAAGAAGAGCG